CAGAGCATCTCCTTGGTAGATACCACATTTGATGGTCACTTGTGCGAGAGGCTTGCCATTTGCCTCAAGGGTGGTCTTCCACATTCCCATCGAGTTTGCAACGAAGTTCCTTAGAGCCCTGTCGATATTGTACAACTTCAAGCATTCCATGATCCATGTGTGTGGCATTGAGTCGTAAGCTTTCTGGTAATCAATCCAGGCTGTGCACAGGTTGATGTGTCGTGATCGGCAGTCTTGGGCGACTGTTCTGTCAACCAGAAGCTGGTGTTTGGCTCCTCTGGTGTCTCTACCAATGCCCTTCTGTGCTGTGCTCATGAATTGTTCCATATGCCCACTTATCTTAGCCACAATGATGCCTGACATGAGCTACCATTTTGTGGAGAGACAGGTTATTGGCCGGTAGTTGGAGGGGACTGCACCCTTGACAGGGTCCTTCATGATCAGGACAGTTCGCCCTTCGGTTAGCCATTCTGGGTGAGTCCCATCTCTCAGCAGCTGGTTCATTTGTGCTGCTAGGCGCTCATGGAGTTATGTGAGTGTCCTTAGCCAGTAGGCATGGACCATATCAGGGCCAGGTGCTGTCCAGTTTTTCATACCTGAGACTCTTTCTCGGATGTCTGCCTCTGTGATGGTAACTGAGTTCTGTTCTGGGAGGTGGCTGTGCTCCTCTCTCAGTGACACCAGCCATTGTGCACTTGTGTTATGTGCTGCATCCTTCTCCCATATGTTCTTCCAGAACTGTTCAGTTTCCAGCCTCGGTGGGTCTGCTCCCCTGTTGTTACCCTGCCACTGAGCGTGTATATATATATATATTAGTGCTGTCCAAAATATCGCGTTATTAACGCGTTAACGCAAATCAATATTAACGGCGTCATTTTTTTTATCGCGGGATTTTTTTTTTTTACTTTTTATTGCAGACAAACACATATACAGAAAAAAATAGACACAAAGAAAAGGACTAGTTCAGATACATTGTAGACAGAGATTACAAACAATATATAGTTGGAGATACAGGGGGCCAAAGAAGAAACCCAGAAGGGCACATAGGAGGGGGGGGGACATGAAGTGGGAGATGGGGGGGAGGGGTTAATAAAAAAGGCAATACAAGCAAACAGTATACAGTCATAGATATACCGAAAGTAAACAGAGAAACAGCATAGAGTATTTACATGAACAAATTTCATCATAATGACACCATGATGTTTCTATACAGTCTATGGTCTATACCCACACATACACACACACACACCCACACCCATAAACACACACACTCCACACACACACACACATATACCCCACAGATAAGATAAGATATAAAGTCTGCCCGCCTGAGTTTCACCAAGCTAAGCGGAACCCAGCCAACATCAAAACCAAATCCGACACACACACAGACCCCCAAGCAGGCCCCCACCCCAAAAAGGGGGGGAGGGAGCCCACGCCCGGCCCATTCCCTCTCTTATTTTGCTCCTTTTTCCCAAGTGTTTTTCTTAACTAAACGTGTCATGCATTAAAATAAGCTTTCGCTTACCCTGACTTGTGTATTATCATTATATGCACATATGCACATATTATTCATGTTATTATTATATTTATCTACTTATTCATTAATTTTTTATTTTATTTTATTATTATTATTAATTTTATTTTATTATTTTATTTTAATTAATTAAAGGGACATAAAGAATAGATACAAATGTGTGACTAATTTGCGATTAATCGCGAGTTAACTATGAAATTCATGCGATTAAATATTTTAATCGTTGGACAGCACTAATATATATATATATATATATATATATAATTTAATATAATATGTATGTATGTTTAGGCCAGCAGTGAAGGCCTTGCAGGCCTTGAGGGTCCGCCACTGTAAGAAAGTGTTTTGTATTCAGGAGCTGAAATTCTGCTAAGCGCCAAAATTATATATATTTTAGTTTTAAAGGAGCAATATGTAATATTTGCATGTCAAGTCATCATTAAATGACCTGAATATTTCAAAAGGCGTTATTAAATCATACTCTTTTCGAATTCATCTTTAACTGATAACAGTAGTTCAGTCGAGATATTTGATTATCAAAATTAGTTTTACGACCCGTAAAAGTTGTTCTTGTTTTGATTTTGATGTCCTACCCTCCGCCTTTTCGCCAATCAGGAAGTGTCATGTAAGTCCGTGATCGGGTTGCCAGAACTCCGCGCGGCTCATTAATCTCAGTGGTAAAATAACATGTGGCGCAGAACTAAAAAAGGTCTTGTTATGACTCTCAAATCATTAATGACAAAACAAAGACTAAAACGAGGATTTATATCGGGATGCCTTTGAACAATTGAGACAGCTGATAAAAGTTCACGTGTGATGCAGAATTTTCTAGTTTGGCTCCGTTCTTCACAGTGTCTCATTCGTGTGAATCGGTGGTCAAGTGGTCTAAGCTGTGCGCTTACGACGCAGGAACCCGGGTTCGATCCCGGGCTATGTCTTTTTGTATTTATTGCATGTTATCACATTCTATGACAGATTACTCTAAAAACGGTAAAAGATGAAGGTCAAGACATTTTTTTTGCAGATTATAGCTTAATTGTAAAAATAATCATTTAAGACCACATGTACCCCAATTAAAATAATGTTAGTCTCTTTTTGATGTGGGACTTTTACATGTTTGTCTAAAAAATAGGGAATAAATAAAATTGAAAGGTGATATCCTCTTGAGCAAACCCTGATGTTGATACGCTGAAGAAATACGTTCCAACATCCATTCTTCCCACTCCTATTTTGGACATCAATTTCTTATTTATTTTGCATAAACTATGTATAATTACATTGCTTTTATTTTGTTTTTGTTTTTTATCTCAAATGTCCAAATAATAATAATAAAAAAACATTAATCAAAACATTCATTCAGCATTAGCACGGCTGTCATGGCAATGTGAATGGAGACGGACAAACAACTGATAAAATAATTCCCTGTGTTTGCTGCTGGATTTGGTGTGTATCTGGCAACCTGAGTCAGGGAGAGTGGGAGAGGACTACAAAATATTGACTGTGACTGCAGTACCACTTTTGGCCAGATTTTTACATATTGCTCCTTTAAGGAAGTTGAGTGCTTCAGTGGGCATTTTTTGTCAGGTTCTCATCAGGATCGGCAGCAAAAAAACACTGGCAACATGTAAGAAAAGAAAAAATCCGAGGCACTCTTGACAGGCGTAGGGCCTTCTTCGGCATAACTTGTTGCTGGTTCAATAAATAATTTTTGTTATACCGTCAAGAGTTCCTCAGAGTTCCTCTTTTTTTATATATATATTTTAGTTTCAGTATTCAGATTGAATTGTATTTAATTGTGTTTTTTCCTGTTTATTTTCATAATTATTTATTCATACAATATGCTAGTATTGAAAAATCAAAGTGGCATCAAATTGAGGCAACAGTACTGTATTTTGTAAAGTGTTACGGTTCATTAATCTTAAACAGTCAAAGGTGCGTATGACGCACTCATTTGCTCTAAATGCTGAAAATGAGTCCCAGAGCAGACTGTGCGTAATGAGTTTGACTTTCCGCCAGTCTCCTCATCACAACAAGCCTCTGTTAGTGGCTCCCATCACGCGTCCCTAAGGGCAAAGGTCTCTGCATTATGTCATCATCGCGAGTCATAGTTGGTTAGCCAAACAGACAGCATGTTGTCTTCATGTTATGCATCCTGACACCAAGTAGAAGGCAGTGCTTTTTAATTGGCAACAAATGAAGGTCTGAGTGCCTAGAGCTGCGTAAGCACAACTTGTGCTGAGGCCAGGAGGTTAAGCACTTGCTGACCTTGGATGTTGTGTTTGTTGGTGTTTTTGAGTCCAGTAACTAGAAACGGACTGATGGATACAAAATGTATAGTTGCAGTTTTTTTTGTGTTAACTATCAGACTCTAAGCTTAATCACTGCCATTTACTTAAAGGTACACTGTGTAATTTTTACTCCCATCCAGCATTGAGATCATATATTGCAGTCTACATCTACTACCAGCACTACGGAAGCCTTTTAGGACAATATGCCGTCTTTGACTGTGGTCCCCAACCCCAGGTCATTCACTGGACTGCCAAGGAAAGAATCCTTTAGTTTGAGAAATATCTCCATTTGTCTTGGTCACTTGATACAGTAGATCTAAAATATATACAAATGTGCCTTCACGCACAAGCTCATTTATAAGTCAAATTCAAAGACTATGACAACATTTAAAAAACATAGTGGAGTTAAATATTCTCAAAAAGGTCACATTTGTTATTGGTTAACATGATTTTTTCATTTGGAGCAACTGTATAAATTAAACACCTTTAATGAGTTTTGAGTGACTCTAAACTATAAGTCAGGGGCAGATATATCAGCAGTTTGCTGGGAATGAAAACGATGAAGTAAATAAGACACCATGGGTCGTCATTGTCAAATTTGGAATAATTATATTTGTAGACTATATCAAGCCAACATTTTTAATACTTGACTTTGATGTTATTACTGCAATGTGTCCAAGCTATTTCCCTGTTAAATAAAGTTTAAAAGGGAAAGTTTAACTAAAGCTCTGTTATTAACATGTGTGTTGACAGGTAAAATAAATATGTCGTCAAAATGTTTCATAATTTGAAAAAAAAAACATAATTTGGAAAAATGTATATAATATGAACACCATATTTCATAATAAATACATTTAAAAAAAGATCTGATTGGAGTGAGGACTGGTCTTCTCTTTTGTCACTGAAAAAGCTGATCTAAAGGCCAAACATACAATGTGAAAACCAGTGGTAGTAACTGGTTTGAGAGCTGGTGCTCTAATAATTATAAATAAACTGATAATTAACTGAACTGAACTGACCGAAGATTTGTAGATACATTTCCCATTGCAAACACGACAGGACTTTTGATATTAATATAATCAATCTAATGAATATTGCATTGCTGAGATAACTGCAAATATAGAGTATAATTTTATGTTTTTAACTAGAAAAGGCTATTTAGACTTTGTTGTAACCTGAAAAGATGAGAAGAACAGGTCAACAAAGAGCTTGGTGAGCCGAAGGGTGATGGTGCTGGACGTCGTCTCATCTGTGACAAATATGAAAAAGATCTGATGGATTCCCAGCAGAGGGATCAGAGTAAGCGTTGACTTTGCCAATCTGAAAAACATCACACAAACATGATACCTCAGAATGTGGTAAACACTCATTTTGAGACTTACCTGAATTTGTAATCCGAATATCTCATCTGGTGCGCTCTTAGTTTTGAAACAAGGATTTTAATTATGTGAATAAATATCAGGAAGTTTATCTGCAAAGGTAAGACGGAACAATTATTATAATACTGAAGCCATCACCATTGATTCCATCTTTCCTTATTGGTCTGTGTTATTATCAAGTTTGTGTTGACATAATAGATCCCCATTAAACATAACTACACTACAACATCTGGCATTTTCCCAAACAGTAGGTGTCCCTCTGATGAAGATTATTTCTGATTTATGACCTTTAATCTTCAATAAGACGTGGGCAATTTGCAGCTTGGAATGTGAGAACGGCTGCTGGGCCGCATTTGTCCAGATATGGCTCGTTTAAAAGACCAAAGTGCATTTTATATATGGAATGTGGTTAACAATAATGGGTGGGGAGCGCAAATACTTGTATTACCTCGGAAAACAATCTGTAGACTTTGCCCAATAAAGTGAACATATAATGAATTACCTACAAGAATGGCTGGCACCTACCTCTATTATAACACAATGTAAAAACAGCAATCTATTTCGAGTATATTCTCTATTAAGATTGCCACATCTCCTGCCAATTGTATTCCCATAGGAACTGGTCGTATTGTTAATGTAATGGTTTATTGCAAATGGAAATGTGTACGTGAAGCTGGTATAAGAGGAAAACAGGCCAAATGGGAACAAGCCCTTCTCGCAACGGCTCAAACACAGGAATTCCTGCGAGATACAGACCACTTAAGCCGAAGATTAATGTGTGGAAAAAATCTGTGATGCTCTGTGTAAGCGATCTGGACATCAGAGCTAAATACAGGCGTAAGAGTGGCCTTTATGAAGTGTGGTACTAATAATAATGGCCAGGCAGAATCAGCAGGTCTGGTTCAACTGGACTGAATCTGGTTCACTTTGGGGAAAAAATGCTTCATTTGTGGATGTAAAAGTAAATATGTGTATACTGCTGCACCTTTTAGTTAAACATTTTTTTTGATTGATTGATTCGTTGAAAGTCAGATTACTGTGAACCAGACCTAATCCAGTTTAAGGGACAGTATTTCCATTTTAATGACATCTACATCATTTATATGTGTCCCCAGATAATAGGTCAAACCTGTACAAATCCCATTTGGCCTTTTCTGAACAACAGTCTAAACTGGAGTTATTCTGGATTTAAAATACAATGAACATGTTGTATTTCATGTATCTTTATGGTTTTCATGCATTTTTTCCAATCAGAAAGCATTGGCTTGCTAGTTTGTAGGTGACATTTAGTTGCACCCCACATTTGTTCAAATGGAAGATGCAAAAATAAGTAGTCATGCATAATACAGAGTATTATGAAACCCCTTTTAAGTGGATTGTGGATGTGTCACAGGCAGGAAGAGTGTGGAAACAAAAGTTGGATTGAAATTGTAATAACTGAGAGTGCATATTATATCAATTACTTTTTAAGGGCCTTATCAGATGAGCAACGATATGCTCACATTAGGAATGCTCACATAATATGAATGACTAACTTGAAAGTGTCATTGTGATATGGTTGTGTTGCGAAGGATGTGTCCAGTCAACCTTCCTGAGTGAAAGGATATGAGCAATGTTAGTGTAATTGGCATCACTACCTTTTTCCTGCATTAAACTTATGTCATTCAAATTTCAAGTTTTTCTTCTTAAGACGTATTTTTCCTATTTTTTTCCCAAAACAATATTGTATACAGCTTGAATTAGCAATGAATTCCAATACAGGAATCTAATCTGTAAACTGATTTCTTACCACAATTTTGGTCAAACCACTCAAAGAGGTTATAAAGTTCCTCACCACAACAGCCAGAAGGATTGGGGAACGGATAATCCACCAGAAATTCATGTCTATATTTTGTCCCCAACATCTGCAAAGAAAGACAAACATGAATTTCCAGACGAGGATCTTGCTGTTTTATAACACAGAAGAAATACACACAGCAATGAACAAGACAAAGTAAAAGCCTGGGTTAAGAGGGAGGCTACGACAGAGCATGTGTTTTAAAGTCTTACATAACTGCACAATGTTTCAGCGGCTGGGAAAGTGCAGACTTACAAAGCACATAAAATAGTGAAGTGTGCGTGGTCTGTCCCATTAGACCAAATTATTTTAAAAGTGGAATATAAAACTGCATAATATAGTGAGACAATGTGACAGGTCAAACCTTCTGCATGGCTTTGTTTTGACTGCGCTTTTTCAACAGCAAAGTTTTATTTGAAGTTGAAGCTAACAAGTTTGATTATTCACCTTCAATTGTGTAACAAGACAAAGAAGCCGTTTTATTAAACCTACAAAACCTATTATTGCAAACAATTTATGTCCCCATGTTGTATCATAATTATGCTTACATATCATGGCAGAAAGTTTTTTTTAATAACCATTTGCCATATAAAGTTCCAAATTGGCAACTGTCTCCCAAGTACAATACAGGAAGTAATAACTTAATGGATTGACTTACTCTTGATTTTCATAAAGGTATTTCACTGTGACCCATGGCACAAGAAAAATGAGTGGCGTCCCTGTAAGAAAAAGTAATTACTTTTTATTTTTTATCTTGTTTGCTTTCAATGTCATTACAGAAGAGTGTACTGTTTTATAAGTCCAGTAATTGAGTTACATCCACGACATTAGCCAGAGCCCTTACCCCAGCCAATGCACAGGTAAATTTTGAAGTAGTTTCGCTCGGTAAAGACAGTGATGACCAGCAGGTTGTGGAGGTAGATGCCTTCAACTAGGAGCCAGTAGCTGTTCGCCATAATACTGTACTGCATCATAACAACTGCGATGCGACAGCCAATTGTGGTCTGTAACAAAGGGATAGAGTTTGAGTGAACGCAGATGAACTCCGACACTGTATGTGCAAAGTATATCCGGGCAGATGGGGCTTTTTTTTGGCCCCAGGGAACAGGGATTGAGATTGTACAAACGTGCTGCTATGTCTCCATCCAGCTGTGACCCTCTGACACATAACCCCTGCACAACAACACTGCTGTAATGTTAATGTCCTAAAGCAACTTATGCATCTTGCAAGTCTGACATAGTTGCAAATTGTCAGGTAATAATTCTATGGGATGATTTGATGCCTAGATTATTCCTAATATGCACATGCCCTGGCTAGAATTTTTATTATTTGTTAAAGCTGGAGTACATAACTTTTTATTTTGTTTGTTCCAACAGAAAGAGTCCTGTTTAAGTAAAAAAAATGTATGTGATCAAATCGGACCACAGCATACTGCATACACAAAACATTAGAGTTTATACATACTGAGAGCTGAGTGAAGGGCTGGTACTCTCTTTGACATATGATAGAGGCTACGGTAATTAAAATTAGCTCCATTTTTTTTTTATGGCCGCGATAAATTCCATTTGCATGCTTGTTTGTTTTCCTCGTCTCTCTCTCTCCCTCTCTCGGGTCAGAGAGCCGCAAAGTGGTCACGGGGACATAAGCGATCTAGCGAGCAGACTGAAAATACTCAAAAATACAGAATACAGCCATAACCGGAGCTAAACCAGGACTAAACCAGGATTGACAATGGGGGACACAGTGCTTGTGAACATATGCCAGGCTGAGTTCTCATTCTCTAGTACCCTAAACTAGTGCCGGTAGCGTGTTTGCCGATGCCGAAGTATCGTTTAATAATAAAATAAACTGATGGTGCACCTCCGTGAGCACATACTGCTGTTAAATAAAGTCTCTGGAAGGTCTGGACACAGAGACGCTGCAGAGCTGCATTCTTGGAGAAGAACTTTACACAAAAAGCCGCTAGCTTAACTCTGTTAGCATTGAAGCCCGCCCGCTACTTCCGCCACTTCTGGCGGGCGCCACCGCAGACCAGGACTTCTGGTCTGAACACCCCTAATGTCTGAAATTTAGACAATGTGCGCTCCAGCGTCTGCGGTCTGAACGATGAGTGAACCCTCATGTCAGTCACTTGTCAGTCGCATGGTGTGTGGGGCAGGCGGGACTATTGGCTTAAATTATTTTTAATACGTTTTTCGCATATGGCTTATTGGGGCATCTGTTTAATAAACTTTGTTTACAAAGGTCCTGGCAGTTTTATTCCAGTTCATTTTTTGTTAGGAGATTGAGAGTCTAATCCAACTGTATAACAACTATATGTGGTATAATTCCACAGTATTATGGCTATAACTAGGAATGATAGATAATGCAACATAATTAAGCAAAAATCAACAGCTATCTCAGTAATTGATGAAGACTGCCCTATACAGACTTCAGATGCATGTGCTGTGAATTATGTGTTTTTATTTGTATTATAAATAATCAGGAATTGTGAAATATATGGTTTCAAAATTATGAAACAATCAGTTCTGGAAAAATAATCTAATAGGAAGTTACAGTAAATCACTGGGACTAAATTCATAATATTTGTCTAAGTCATATGTTGATAGAATTGCAAATCTGAATTTATCGAAACAATCTTTGCTAGATTTATTTATTGATTCATTTATCAATAATTTATTATCAAAATAATTGTTAGTTACAGCCTGACACAGTATCATTATGAAGATGGGCTTCTAACAATATCGACAGAGCTCACTTTCAATGATTTGTGCCACAAATATTCTCAATTACCTCGCCAATAGTCTGCAGCCCCATTATATATACACTGTAGTCTGTTTTACTGTAATTGCTCTTTATCCCCCCAATTCTCTTATCAATTAAAGAGTGCATATCGCATAAGCAATAAAAGCAGCACACTAATAGTATGAAGCCTCTTACTATTATGCAAGGTATATTATACATCACTAACATACACAATGCACACTGGAAATGGCAGATGCAGTAATTTATCCTTTAATTAATTTATCCTTTTTCTTCATTACCCTTCACTTTAAATTTCATTTCATGTGTTGTATTATGAATAGCTTGAATAATGTGACATTCTGGAACCAGAGTTGATAAAATCCTAAAACTAAGGCTTGTAAACTCAAGACTGATTTCAATACTGCATTGTTTTAAAGTAATATTTTCCTTGTTCAATTATATTTACTAGTTTTATACTACAGCCAACAATAAAAAAAAGAGTTGAGCTATTCTCTAAATATCTACAGATATATTTCTTGTTTTATTCCTGCTGTTGTAATGTGTGCTGCAGCACTGGAATTTTCCCACTGTGGGACAAAATAGAGGATCTCTAATCTTATCTTGCTTTTGATACTAGTGATTCATGTCGACAGATCCCTCCGGCGTCTTTTCTTGTATGGTGCTGGGTTATTATATTGACTATACAGCATATAAGCAGGCTATGTTTTAACCACTGACCTCATTGTTGACGAGCATCTCCATGGGGGGTATAGACGCCTGCGGGAAGCTGGGGTCCTGATCGCTGTTGAGGCCTTGTGACATGATGTTGGCGTCCACCAGAGCATCTTTGATGAGAATGGACAGGGCTCTCAGGATGAACGAGGCAAACAGGTTCATGTGGATGTTGTTCCTCATACAATGGAGTTTTCTGAGAAACCAATTGCGTTGTATTTAGAAAAGTCAAGGGAGCCATATTTTACAAAACCTTTGCAAACCTTTAAATCTGAATGTATTTAATGTGTACCTGTATTTTTCAGTCTTTAATTGATTAAATATGAATAAAGAAAAACGGCCTGATTAATAAATAATAAAGGAGCTGCTTTTGCAATATGATTCCTAATGGAAAACATAATATGTTATTAAAAACCAGGAACCAGTTCTATTTTTCTTTGGAGACTGGCCTTCTCAAATATTGTATTAGAGGCAAACAACTAAAACAAAAAGTGCTCATCATAAAAACAAAGAGCTTCCAGGCATTATGAACAACAGTATCTAACAGGTCAATCGTAACGACCAGGTGGGTGGCATCGCATGGCATTCAAGCAGGGCTTTTCATCACTGCATGAGCCATATGTGCACATTTGATGAGTGCCATTTAACCAGCATGAAAAGTGAAATATGACTTAGATTTTGAACCTCGTTATTAAGAACATTAATGATGTTTCTAAATATTTGTAAATCATACTAGAGACAGTTTTTACCTGAAAAATATGAGGATGCTAAGCGCCAATACTAAAGCCACAAACGATAGGGAATAACCCACGGTGTACATAATCCGAATGTAGTAGTAGTAGTGCTGAAAAACAGAAAAACTATTAATAATCATTATCTCAAATCCGATAGACAAAGCCTTCTGTACCTGGCTAAAGTCGTTGGAGTCGCACTCGCTGGTGTTCTTGTTGATGACCCACTGACCGTTTCCATCACACTCCTTGTAAATCAGGCCATTCTGAACTATACAAAAACAAAAAGACAGATTTTTGTTTAGATTATTTCTTTTGAAGGTGAAAGAACAATGTTTTTACCTTTGTCAAACCAGGGCAGATACCAGGGACAGGAAACACTGACCGTTGTGTTGGGAAGACCATCAGGCCAACAAGAGTAACCATCAAAAGTCCTGTTACAAACCAAACCTGAAAACAGAGAATGTGGAATCTTAAACTTGCTCCAAAATTGTCATCACAATATCACAAACGTTTGCAACACAATAATTCCACAAGGGCTTTATAATGTTGACAAAAAATTGAAAGGAAATTCCTGACTTAGATCTACAATACATGTACAGCAGGTATGTGCATATATCAAACTGTGTGTCTTGAATGTAGTTAGTTTAAAGCACATCTTCCCACAGTGTTATCGTTATTTCTTCCCTAACCAAAGCATTTCCAGGTTTAAGAAAATCTGTCACCCCCCACTGTAAGATTTAGCTAAGGAAATGTATTACACAGATAACATCCAGGTATTTCTATATTTGTGGTAATATGACCTAACCTTAAATGTTATGCCGTGTTTGTCCTAGTCTTTTTTTTCAACAGGAACATTTTGTGTTCTCATAACTGTTACTTCAAGGTAACTATATGCTGAAACACAATCTTGTAAACAGAAAGTGACTGGAAATATTGCAGATAACTACTGTATGGACGCATCTTTTTTTCTTTCTGCAGTTTTTACATTGACAAAACTGCTATTCATCTGAAGGCATTTGCATGTATTATTGTGATGAATCAGATCAAAGAGTTTTTTTTATTGCATTAGTTGGAGAGCAAGTGAGGAAGATTTTACTGGATTAATTACTGTTGGCGTCCAGGTCAAGGTTTTTCAAAAAATCAATGCGAGTAGTCTTGGTAAGGTCGCACAAAGAGCTATACAATTTGGCGTAGTTTCTATTCACTCCACACACGATCAGTGAAACGCCAAGGGAAAAACCTGGTACATCTTAAAGCTGGACTAACTCACTTTGTGATTTCGAAGCAAATGTGAGCGCTGGCCTTGCTCTTTCTGCTCCCCTCTCTGCACACACGAAGCTTTCGCCCACCACTAACAACTGTCAAAGTTGTTTCCAAATTGCATGAAAAATGACAAAACATAGATCTCCTTCAACTATTTAGAATAATACAATATAATAGTGAAAATCTTGTACTCCCGTTGCTTCTACTGTAAGCTGTTATAATCGTCATAACTATATGGATTGAATCTCCCTAATTAATACAAAAATGAGGTAATCCAGCTTATCCATCCATTCACCCACTGATTGCATTCAGCCATCGTGCATGCTTTTGGTGGTAGGGGCAACCAGAGCTTTTGAGCCACTATTTATGTCCAGTAAAACTTTTTAACAATTTTTTTGACATTTTTGACATTTTTTTGAAAATTTATGACAACCAAGATTATGAAAGAGTAAGAGAAGTGCTCAATTGTATTCCCAAGTTTTTTATTTTCTTAAATAAATAGAAGAAAATAAAAAACAATTCCAATCTCAGCGCCATATCTAAATAACCCCCCTCTTCATCGAGCGTTTCCATGTTTCATTCATTGTAGCGTGCACATTCTACGGCCCCCTGAAGACCCACATAACAAAACCAACTGTGAGTTTGTGTTCTCACCGGTGCTGAGAGGATTCCGACTGTTGTTGCGGTCGCATTCTTCTGTGTACTGCTTCAAGCTCTCCTGCAGCTCTGCCAGGGACACCGCGGGGCACACCTGAGCACACAGCCGTCCTACTTATTAGGAGAATTTTGTCCCAATTGTCTCAATCGTAGTGTTACTTATTCTCAATGGCAGACGTCTCAGGGGACAACATTGAGAGAGAACTACAATTACTGCTACATAACAATTAACCCATTATTTACAACTATGACCAAACATTACAATATCTCAAGCATGGGACCAGTTAAGTTGGTGTTAAGTTAATTGGAGTTAAGTAATTTTATTTTCATTTCTTACATCATCACCTATTGTTACATAAGCATCTACATATAACTGTAACAGATCAGGTCTTACATCAGAGCCTTAGAGAATTTGGTATGTATATGATCTAAGATTGAAGGGACATTTAAAACAGCAAAAGTAATGCATATTAGCCATTTATTGGTTGTAATTTTTCTATACAGTAGCTGCAAACATGCCATAGTAATGCTAAAAGTACCATCCATCAAACTGTGGTCCTCTGAGGGGAAAATGCTATTGTGTGGACAGCTTGCTCTAAACACCAGGCGTGTTTGTTTATAGACTTCAACAAATCTGTATCTCCAAATGTAAAACAGTGCTGAATGAATGCAGTTGTTTATATTATTATATCAATATCAATGTTATGTAATGTATCTATGGGACCCACCTGGACACTGCTGGAGAGAACTACCATTGCCAAAGAGAGAAACAGCCGGGACATGCCGTATGTTTTGTTGCTGGGAGGGGTGGGGGGGGACTGGGCAATGAAGAGTGGATTTTCACCTCATAAGGGGAGCTTATCGAGGCCCACCACGTTGCCTGAATGACACAGAGACACGATCTGTCAGCGCTCAAAGTAAACACTGAGGTTGTAAGTGACTGTGTGGACTTAGAGAAAGCTTATATATGATGGGACTCTATTGGCAGTGAGAAGAGTTAAGGATACAAGGGTTTTGTGTGTCAGCCAAATGAAACGTTTCTATGAAAAGATTTAGAGAGATAGCAATGTATCATACTGCTTTTTAACAGTACACAAAGTAGACATCTACACAAAATTGATATCATGTTTAGTTAAAACATAAGCCACACAATCCATCTCCTTAATGATAGTTACATGTAGTTATTTATATTCTTAGTCCTGGATATCTTCTGTATACTTTATCTCTATCTACTTAAGGATTTGGGCCAAATGTTGGGCCACATTATTTAGTTTTATATTATTCCCTTTATTCCCACTCCAATACACTGTACTGTATGCATTTTGAGAGGTCAGAACATTGCACCTTAATATCTTGGAATTACCCGGAACACAGACAGAAATATTGGGTCTGAAAAAAATGAGATAACTTGATTTATGTTGAAGATTTATAACCTGTGGGTGTGGTTAGCCACACCCTAATCCTGAGGCAAACTCATTAACACATCTAAGGTCTGTTAAGATGTGGCAGGGAGCAGGTCTAACGACCCTGCTAGGCTATAGCCCTAGCAGGGTTGTTAGTTACCCTGCTAGGGCGGTCCGAGCTTTCATTCACTTGAAAAAGTTCTTTGGATCAAGGACGAAACGTTGGGAAAAACCTGCTAAGAAGTACAGATGATGGGTGAAAAACCTTCCTTTCCTTTAAAATGTACATGGCCATATCAGAGTTCTTATTTCTGAATACATTCACATTTTTACAGTGTAAAGACAAAACACTATTAACATCATTAACTTTGCGTTAGATAACAATATTCTGAATACCGCCACCAGAAAACCCATTAGTAGTCCATTCACATTGGACTTTAAGCATGGAAAAGAAACTATGCTCCTCACTTATCCTTGTCAAAATCCAGATTTGCCTCAAAATCTTCATAGACATACAATAATCCAAGATTTGTTGATCTTCGATTGAGCGAGGGATTGGTCACCTACCTGATCATCATCGACCGCTGTCACCTCGACGCTGAAGCTGGAGAACGGAACGAAATCTGAAACGTTTCTGCAAAAAACACCTTGACCATGGAAACATTTTTGGCTAAAACGTTTCAAATTCCATTCCGTTCTAGTTTCCAGGATGCTGTGTGTGCGTGTATTCAATAGACCTGACCTATGCACCATATATCTATATTAATATGGTGGCAAACTTTCTGGAAGAAGCCTTTTCCAAAACTGTCAAAGTTGTTTCCAAATTGCATACAAAATGACAAAACATAGATCTCCTTCAACCATTTAAAATAACACATACTGATATAAAATGTGCTGTATAAATAAAGTGGATTGGATACTGTTGGTATGTAATAATAATACATAGTTCAGGAGTAAAGACCCAGATCAATAACAATGGTTTATTATCGAAATGTATTAGTTTGTATCCGTCTTGAATTGATGTATTCGGCTGTGACTTACAGAAAAATGCAAAATCTTGTCCTCCTGTTGCTTCTACTGTAAGCTGTTATAATCGTCAAAACTGGAGAACAGAGTTGCTCAAACAGTAAACACAGGGACAAATGGAACCTTACATAAGAAGTGTAATTTTTTATGCTTCATTTCTCAACTTTCTCAACGCAAAAGAAAATCCGTACTTTCTTTACTCTGCCCGAGGTTACCACTAAACTACACAAAATTAAGCCCAAATATGTCAACATTATTTGTGGATAAACAGCCTTTGGGAGGGTCTTGTCTCAACACAAGTTGTTCCACCCTGCTTTCTTCTGGAAGTGGGCCTGGAGATACCATCTAAACCAAAGAGCCTGCTTTCTTAATGGTCTGTTCAGTGTAATGACCACAGGATGCAGTTAGCGCTACTCTCCGCACAGACTGACTGATTACTGTGGGCGCCTGGTGGATCAACATCATTCCAGCTCAGGTCGCCTTAACCGATAGACGGCCCAACACTTTATTTCCATATGATCTGCTCATCTTTAAAGTGCTGCACTATATAAAAATAATGGCATGTGTGTGAGCTACTTTTTTGTGATGCCCAGTCTAAAACAATATCCAGCTTGATAGTCTATCAGAAAATACATTGGATTTAACTTGACAGACGGATGCTGAAGTCAAAAGAATTTGTCACAATGGATACAGTCACGTCAATATAATAAATCATTTCTGAGTGAAGTTTGTATGTTCTTCACATGTCTGCGTAGGTTTCCTCCGGGTGCTTCGGTTACAATAGGCCTGGCATGTGCCTCCTGTACTGGCAACCTCGCTCCCATCTCTGTGTGGAGTGAGAGGACAAATGCCCACAATTGTAAAGCGCTTTGTGACTCTGGTCTGTGAAAGGCACTTTATAAATTACTTACTTGCTTAATATACATACATGTTGTCTAAAGAATATGATGTTTGTTTGTTATTTTGAAAGCAAAAAATCTAGTAAATATTGTGAGAAATTTAGATTTATTTTGTGACTCAAGCCAAACAAAATTTGGCACCTTACAACTTACTTTCAGAAATGAGAGAATTCTGTGCAGCTTTTTCAAAAATATAAAGTGAATTTCTGGGTTAATTCATTTTCAATTATTATCTCTATATCTCCTCTATATCTCTTACTATCCACACATACCCACCGTTATATATCTCTTAATCTGAATCTTAATACCCACACAAAGCCACCGACCCTACACCCTTATCACGAAAGGGGTGAATATTTCAAAAGTTAATGTAGTTGATGTTGCTCTGTCGGATCATTTCTGTGTATTTTTTAACATGTGTTTTGCTACCAGACCACCCGCTAAATACAGTATGAAATTGTTAGAAGTAGACACTTAAATGAAAACACGGGTGAACTATTTATGGGAATGATCCATTTTGAGAACACATCATGTTCTACTGTAGATGAACTGTTTAACTCTGTCACCTCTAGTGTGTTGAATGTTCTGGACGCCATTGCCCCTGCGAAGGTAAAAATGGTCACAAATAAGCAAAAAGCCCCATGGATAAAAGCAGGCCCGGTCAGGGCACAGAAGCAAGAGTGCCGGAGAGCAGAGAGAAAGTGGAGAAAGTCCAACCTCCAGGGTGATTATAAACTCTTAAAAGAGAAGTTGTGTGAGTTTAACAGAGTACTACGTAGAACAAGAGAATTATACTTTTCTGAAACTATTGAAGGCTGCAGCAACAATCTGCGTGTTCTATTTTCAACAATCAATAGATTAACGAACCCCCCTGTTGAGTCGCCATTAGAACACTACTCCAAATCCAGGTGTAATGAATTTGCACAGTTCTTCAGAGACAAGGTTCAGGGTATCAGAAATGCCATCACCTCCACAACACAAGTAACAATGCAACATCCAGTGAGGCTTTGTGAGCTAGCTCAATTTGCACCTGTCAATGATGAAACTGTTAAAAAGATAATCACAGGTCTTAGTTCCTCTACCTGCAGTCTGGATGTACTACCTCCTAGATTTCTGAAGTCTGTTATGTGTAGTCTATTACCCTCATTGACACAAACAGTAAACATGTCTTTTTTATCTGGAACATTTCCAATGGCCCTGAAAAAGGCAGTCATCAGGCCCCTCCTAAAAAAGAGCAGTTTGGATGCTGCGGTACTTGAAAATTACCGTCCCATCTCAAATCTGCCTTTCATGAGAAAAATTCTTGAAAAAGTTGCCTACCAACAACTTACTGAATTTTTAATATCTAATGACTCATTTGACATGTTCCAGTCTGGCTTTAGACCACACCACAGTACTGAGACCGCTCTAGTCAAGGTAACAAATGATATTCGGCTTAACACTGATGCAGGAAAAGTCTCTGTTTTAGTCATGTTAGATCTGAGTGCCGCTTTTGACACCGTTGACCATGAGATTCTCATGCAGAGACTGGAGGACTGGGTTGGTGTTGCTGGTACCGCCCTAAGCTGGTTTAGGTCCTATCTAGAAGAAAGGAAGTATTGTGTGGAGATTGGAGACTATGTCTCAGATAATATGGCCCTGACCTGCGGAGTGCCAGGGGTCAATTCTGGGACCTCTCCTGTTCAATATTTACATGCTGCCATTAGGTCAGTTAATTCAAAGTATGAAAGTGTCCTACCACAATTACACTGATGACACTCAGATCTATGTCTCACTGACTGCAGGAGAGCATGGACCGGTGGACTCACTCCTTCGCTGTATCCAGCGGATCAGTGGGTGGATGCAATGCAATTTTCTCCAGCTAAATGCGGACAAAACCGAAATGATTGTCTTTGGTCCCGAGAAACAAAGAGAGACCGTCATTTGTCACCTTCAGTCTCTCTCCCTAAGGCCTTTAAATAAGGTCAGAAATCTGGGAGTAATAATGGACTCTGACTTAAACTTCAATTGGATCGGTAACATCAGCAGCTTTTTATCATCTGAAAAATATTGCCAAAATTAAAAATATTGTGTCCAAAGCAGACTTGGAGATTCTTATCCATTCTTTTGTTTCCAGTAGGCTGGATTACTGCAATGGCCTGCTCACAGGTATCTCCAAACATGCAGTAAAACAGCTGCAGTATATTCAAAATGCTGCAGCCCGAGTCCTGACTAGAACCAGGAAGTACGACCACATTAGTCCGGTCCTCAGGTCTCTGCACTGGCTTCCCGTGGCCCAGAGGATAGACTTTAAAGCAGCTCTCCTGGTGTACAAGTCTCTCCATGGCCTTGCACCAAAGTACATCCATGATATGCTAGTCCCATATGAACCAGCCCGGACTCTGAGGAGCGCAGGGACGGGACTCCTGTTAGTGCCCAGAGTCAGGA